CCAAGAGGTCTTTGGGAATGAAAAGTCACTCATGGGTAACAAAGCTACTGCCGCTTCACGACCTCTTGATCTCAAACCAGAATCAAGCTGACACAGTGTGACAACATGTGACAACGTTGATCATGTTGATAGGCTAATGATACGGTCAGCCCTGGAGCCCGGTTTTCATCAGGTGCAACCTCTTGAAGTACGTACTGCACATTGTCCATCGTTCACACATACCATTTCTTTAGGCTTTTACCACCTGGTCCCATCCGATGCCAAATACCTACAATGTCCCATGACAAGTTGTCGTATGTCTAGCGGCCTAGCGGTCTGAGTGACCCTTGGACTACCAACCGGTGAACAGAATACATTTTCCCAGCAAAATAGGGAAATGGAGTCCTTTTGCATGCCATACATTGGGTCATGTGGCATGTTCCGCATGGCCTTCGCGATCGGGTTTATCTTCTGCACGGGGGCACAGCATGCGCGGATGTCGACAGGGCTTTGTTTTGAGTTTGGATCCAGCAGATTAGTTAATTTGACAACTGCCTTGAGCTACCAACTTTGTTTCCCATCGAAAAAGAGGTCACCTGGGTTCTAGGTTTCTTCCATGAGATTACATTCTGAATTGCTTCATGATACCCATGCTCAGTCGAGGTGATCATCTTTGCGAACCTCCACACACATATATGTATAATATGTACATTACATGTAATATACCTTTATATACCTTCCCTGCCCAGCATGGACTTGCTTCAGTGATCCTAGTCGATCTGTCTCCAGGATGGCTTTTACGCACTCACAGGGTGTCAATCGCCCACCAACATTGAGGACTGTGCCTGGTGAAGACCCTGTGGAACGAACTTCCAGCTTCTACTTTATATGGAACATGACCCTGCATTGCTTGGGCCTATCTTGTATTCATGGTGCAAGGAACAATCGTGCTGTATAGGCCTTATAGCTGACAACATGTTGTGTTTGTTTGGAGAAAAACAGTGCTGTTTGAACATGTTTGATTATTAGTTGTTCTTCACTTCAATCTGCCCTGTTCCTACAATTTCTGAGGCGTTGTTTGCTTACCACACTCACCCAAAGCTGAGTGATTGTCATGGCAAGGGCACTTTGACAAAGCCTAGCTCTTTGCATTGCCAGTTTTTTCAAGCAAGTGTTGTCTTGAGCAAATGGTTATATGGCATCCTGATGCTGCGCAAGAATCCCCAGAGGAATCTTTTGTCCAACATGTTTCCTCCCAGGACCATTCAATGGGTATCCATCAACTACCCTGCACTACTTGCTCCTAGTAGTAGGGCCAGGAGCCCCTAGTAGTTTCTTGTTCCTAGTAGCGATGCCAGGAGCCCTAGGCATCTCCATTGGACACCCATCCAACCTGGTTCAGGTCCAGAGTTGGGTTTTGCTTTCATTTGCATCTCCAGGACTAAGCATGGATTGATGGTTGTATGCCATATCTACATTGGGGTGGTTTCAAGGGTAAATGTAGGCTTACAAGCGACTTGAGCAAGCACAGTCTGACTTGAAAGAAATGGACACTGCTGGACGCTACCCTGCGGGCACCACACCATTCAAAAGTCAGGCTGACCTGGCTGAACTGGATGAGACTTTGGCAGAATGTGAAACCCCATGACCAAGGAGTGCAAACGCATTAACACCTTGGCACTGGAGGAAGATTAGCCAAAGAACGCGCCATGCTCAAGCGCAAGCAGCTCATGACGGAATGCCAGGCAGTTGTAGACAAACTCATTGAGGCGGACAACTTGGGGTTGGATGACCCACTCCAACAGCAGTCGATCGATGATGCATTCAGAGTCTTATGGAAAGTGAGTACGGCAAGGTCATTCAAGACGTAAGAAAGGAGCAGAAAGCAAAAAGAGGATGCGGAAAAGGAAAAGGCCAAAATTGAAAAGGAAAAGAAGAACGTTTTGGAAAGCCACCCTTCCACGTTGATGAAAGATGCCGTGGAGTCCATTGTGGAAGCCAAGTTCAAACAAGTGCAGCGTGAAGCCGATGGGTTCATGATGGATGACTACGGCACCAATGACTACATCAATGCTGGAATGAAGAAAGCGTGTGACGCCTTGCAAAAAAAATAGCTTGGCCCCTGCAGGAAGCAAGGGGACGCGTGGCAAGCCCGTCCCGACCCGTCCTCTTATTTCGTCCTCGCATCGCACTGTTTCCCCGAGCGGGCCTACCTGGGTTTAGTGGAAAGGGTCGTTTCGCACCTTCATTGTCTTCAACACGTACGCGCCAAAACGGTTGCCAAGTACGTGTTGCACCGTTTTTGTTGCGCGCTAGCTCTTTTGTCCCGTTTTGCCCAGGTCATATGCCGCAAGCAACATGTGTTCTGTTCCCACTTCAAGAAACACAACAAAACATAGAACAGAGCAAAAAGTCTTGGTTCGTTAAAAAGAAATGGACACAGCAGTAATTTTGCATACTTATTGGTGGGCCATACGCACCCAAGTTGATGTCATCATGAATATCACTTAAGACTTAAGCTTTCTTGGTGGCCTATAGTTTCCTCAATGGTCAGCTTGGATTTGAAAACGCAATAATGCAACAAAACAAAATGACACGGACACATACTGACACTGATTATTCAGGTGTTCTTCCTGGATATGATAGTTAGTTAGGTCTTCAGGATTGAATTACCTGCCTTTGCACCCTCTCACACTGCGCACAGGACTGGCCTGCAGAGCTATTATGTGCGCTAAGTGTTGACTTTAAGAAAGGCGCAGACCGCACACCACGCAAACACTTTGTTAACTGGAAAACAAATTGGAGGGGCATATAATTTTGAGATTATTTTGGAATTTGTTTCGTTCTATTTTTGGATTGTTTTTTTTTTTTTTGTCTTTCTGTGCTAGTGTTGCTGTTCCTTGCTTCTCACTGCTTCTTTGCTTTGTTTTTGCTTTTCTGTGCTTGTCTTGCTGTTCCTTGCTTCTCACTGCTTCTTGTGTTTTTTTGTTTTGCTTTTCTTGCTTTTCTGTACTTGTGTTGCTTTTCCTTGCTTCTCACTGCTTCTGTGCTTTTCCTGCTTTTCTGTGCTTGTTTTACTTTTCCTTGCTTTTCATTGCTTCTTTGTGAATCCTTTTTTTCCCTTGCTTTTGCTGCTTTTTTGTGCCTTCTTTCTTGCTTGGTTTGTTTTACCTGCTGTTTCTCCTTGTTGGCTTTTTGTTGTTCCTTCTTCTCGTCTTTTTGTAGCGTAGTGAGCCTCTTTGATCTTTGATTAGTTGATGCTGTCGCTTTTGAGGGGTAGGTATCCATGATACGCATCAAAGAAATAACAATACTAATACGCATCAATGAAAAAATGTTTGTCCCCTCATCCCGTGGTCTGCTGGTCCCCTGGTCCCTTGGTCCAATGGTGCCGTGGTTTCTTGCTCCCCTGGTGCGCCGGTCCCTTGGTAAGTCCCCTGTCCTTCTTGTGCTACACAGGTCCTTTGGGCGCGCGTCAAAAAATCAATAATGCATCATCAATCCATCTTGTTGCTTATGGTTGTGAGCCAAAAACTGCCGCTTTTGCTGTTTCTTTTGTTTTGCCTGGTCGTATTTTCCTGCTGTTTCCTATATCTTCCTTGCTTCCCTGCTTGTGTTTCTTTGTTTCTTCTTTGACATAAGACCTAAATGTTAAGATCAGCGCTCCGTGCTTCCCAAAGTGCACTCCTGGTTCACATACACTGCTCACCAGGAAATCTGCATAACAAACGTAACACGATACCTTTATATATCCACCGCAACCCCATAATGGCCGATGCTAAGGGCCACACGAGACTTTGGCCATCTCAAAAAAAGTTTTTTCACAAAAGACTTGAATGCAAGGTTTACAAAGCGCTGCCAAGGTGAAATTGCATACCTTTTGTGAGCCCCCTGACGGTTAAATTTCGGGGAGGAAGGTGCCATTTCAACTGCGCGGACCTTTTGTGAGCCACCCGATGGTAACATTTAGAGGAGGAAGGGGCCATTCCAACCGTGCGTGCCTTTTGTGAACCACCCGGGCGTAAAGTTTAGAGGAGGAAGGTGCCATTCCAAACGGCGCATAGTTTTTGTGAGCCGCCCGAGGGTAAAATTTAGAGGAGGAAGGTGCCAATCCAACGGTGCATACCTTTTGTGTGAGCCACCCGAGGTTAAATTTTAGTGGAGGAAGGTGCCAGTCCAATCGTGCATACCTGGCATAGCCACCCGAGGGTAAGATTTAGAGGAGGAAGGTGCCATTCCAATGCAGCAACATGCCTGTGTGCGCAAGTGGGTCGCTGCGTGTGCAAGTGAGTCATGCGTTGCCAAAAGTGAGGTAACTTTTGCATGCGCAAGTGAGACAACTCCCACGGCGGATGCTAAGGGCCACCAGGCATTGGCCATCTAACAATCTAGCAAAAGACTTGAATGCTTAGATTACCGACGTTTACAAAGCGCTGCCAAGGTCAAATTGAAGGAAGGACAGCAGGGACCACTCCAACAAAGCACATCTTCTGTGAGCCACCTAAGGTTGGATGCTAAGGGCTACCAGGCTGTTGCCATCTGACTTGAGACCTAGATGTTAAGATCAGCGCTCCCTCCAAGGTTCACATAACGCTGCGGTCCCCCTGCGTCTTGCCCTGAAAGTACTCTTCCCGTATTCTCCAGCCGCTGCTGGGGTCGTTTCTTTTGGGTGATTTGATATCGTCAAAAGCAAAGCTTCCCGGTCGTCACCGCCGGAGAAAGGTTGCCGGCCGCCGCGACATGTTTGGTTTCCCCCTCAGACCAAATAGCAATCACACACAAGAAATGGCCTGGGTAAGACCAAAGAAAGGTTACAATCGATGATCTGTTGGTGTGAACAGGATTTCATTCTTTCCTGCAACCTCACCCCGACCATATTTTGTACGCTGGGGGAAGTGACCGGTGACAGTGTTTCATGGTGTTTTTTTTTTTGGTCCCGTCCGCAGGATCGCGGCTGCTTTCCAAAGCCCACACTGACCTACGACCACATCAGCGTGGAAGGGTGGACGGAGTCGTACCAGATGCTTTGGGATGACATCGAGCGCGATTTTCCACAAACGGCTCCCAGAAACTTGGGGAACATGGGTTTCTTGGCAGGAAGGCTGGAAGGCAGCGCGGAATAGAAGTAGGCAGTAGTTTCACTTCAATGCCACAAGCTGTGCACATGTTGCTTGTTCAAAAAACATTGGAGACCATGTCAACTGTTTGTCTTGGAGCTGAGCCAACCGAGTTTTTTTCTCCACCTGGGCTAGGCCGATGGACCGATGAAGTGGTTCAGTCTGCAAAGGGCGGTTTCCACCGGCTGGCACCTTTTCATGGTTTTGGTTTGAGTAAGTGGAAATCCCCCAGGGGTACAAGTCCAGGTGGTGTTTAGTCCCATCCAGTGAGTGGATGTGACAAGGGTACCCTAACCTCCATGGATAGCACCCAACTCCATGAAACTCTTGGCCTGGACTTTGAGTATGGCTAGACCTCGCTAAACCTTCTGCTGAGGCTACTTTGGAAAGACCTCCTTGTTCTTGCCAGCAAGCGTGCAACAAGCTGCCTATAGCGCAGAAGGCTGGGCTTCACCATTATTTGCTTGAATCAGCTGTGTTTGGAGATGTGTGCCGAGCTATATAAGTCCCATTAAGCCTGAGGGTCAAAAACCATCCCCATCCGATCACCAAATGCATTCCCTGGGGTCCAGGGCGGCCCTGGTGTAGTTTTGCTATTGCTTCATTATTTTCAACTGGATTTTTGTTTGGCTGGATCTTTCATTCGGAAGTCTCCTGCGACCAAAGCGCCCATTCTCCTGCGGTGAGCTCTCAAGAGTCAAGGCTACGAAGATCCAAACACATCCAAAACTAAGTTCAAATATCACATTATATACATATAGATCACACATATTGAATCAAATGTAGATGCACAACATGATAAATCTAACACACGAGACATGTTGTGCCCTTCAGTTCCCTTTATTTGGATTGTTTTTTGGGCTGAACACTATCCCCCAACAGGATGCCGGGCAAAAGGACGCACGATTCAGATGGTCATGAAACCCATAGATGTGTGACCACAGACTAAAGTCAATTCAGCTATGAGCGTTGCTTCTTGCGGTGTTTCCATTCAGCAAACCAAATCCTCAACACAGATTGGGTTGTCAAGGATTGTGAGGCTCCTTCTACCTGCATGTTTCAGCTAACTGTTGACAGTCTGGATGTCTACTCAAAATCGCCGCTACTAATATAGCTTAGCAATGTTTAGCATATATTTGGAACGGTCTTCGTTCTGTCATCATTTTGCTAAGAACCACGCTGTTCATCCACTCGCCTCCGGCTGCGAAGCGGTGCAAACAGACAATACTTGGACCCGTTCGTACCCTGGCAGAAACAGGTACGACTGTACGACTGATTCCCCGTTTTCTGAGGTACGAGTTCCGGGTTAACCCTAGGTATTTGTGTTTCCTTTAGCTTCAACTTCATTTCAGGGTGTTCAAGGGGGGTCCACAATCTTCAAACTTGAATAATGTTCTTAACTATTGGTTGTTTCAACACTCTTGGCCGCAAAAGGTCGCGAAACCTTGAGACCGTTCAAACTTGACATTCTGGCCCAATAGTTCAATAATTGGAGTTGAGCAAGGAGAATCGTTCATTTCATGAACTGACGTGATTGGACGATTGGACTGTGTATAGGAAGTTTGACTTTTGGAGGTTTGCAAAAACAAAAGTAACCGACAGCAATTTGAAGGCACTTTGACAGGGTCAAAACAAAGGTACCTAATTCCTAGCATTCACGTTTTGAAGAACCGGATGCTGAGTTAGCCCCACTAATTCAAGACATGGAAGCCTCGCTCAACAAATGCTGCTATTTGTTTCGCTCGACGCGATAATGCCAGACACAAAAAGTACAGACAATTTTGCAAATAGTACGCAAATAGTACACAAAAACCCGCAAAAGTACGCAAATCGGGATTTCTGTACTCTTGGCTTTTTGATGGCTTTCAGGATTTCATCGAGTTCACACAACTAGAACAGAGAGGTTTCCGTTGGGATGATTAGTGGAAAAGGGACGTGCTATCCAACAATAAACATCTTGTACAAACTGCAAGTCGGCCTTTCACGCTTTCTATCTATAATTTGAACCGGTCAGATGCTCATTGATCGCACACTTGTTTCCACTGTGGCTTACAGGTGTTCCACTTGATTGCACACGTTAAAGTGTGCTCATCAAGAAAAGAAAAGGAGCAGCGCTAGCGTTCAATTTTGGTTGAAACCGTTCACTTTTGGGTGGAATCGGCCAAGCCGGCCTAATAGGAAAGAATTCCCAATAGTGAAGAAATAATTGAAAAAATTGTTGAGGGTCCAGGGTGTAATTATATGATCTATTGGAGACCCCTTGGAAGGTGCTGTTATCTAATTAATGTATAATTGTGGCAGTGGCTCAAAAATATGCAAGTCATGATTGCCAGGACCCAACAGTTGTTCAACAGGGCACCGAAATCGCGCTGAAGTGCGTGGTTGTTGGGAGAGGTGGACATATGAGCTGTTGAAGGTGCTGGGATACAGGGGTCAAACTTCCTGGAAAGATTGTCCTAGCATGGTCCCAAACCTTGGGACCCTGGTGTACGTGGTTTTCACCCACAACAACACCCATCAACACCTAACATTCAGGTGCTTGATTTGCTTCTACAATATGTTCTAATGATTCTAATGATCTTCAGATGTTTAAAAAAACATCCCCGCGCCTCCCCGAACATGACATTTTTGTGGAAATCATTCATAGCAGGGTCGCAGCCCGAAACCTTCGCAGGGGGGGTTGGACTCGGAACACCAATGTTTTTCTCCCCGCTTTCCGTTGTCCCATTCTCTACTCAAATGGCTGGAACATGTGAAGAAATGCATGTTTGTTAAGTTTATGTTTTTCACCATATCCAGACCATCCATGGATGTCCATATGAAGTTCTGAAAAGCACAGCCACTGAAAACCGGTTTCAGACCTACTTGTAACTCGACCCAATCCCTAAAACCGGTCAGGGACGACCTTTGAACAATGCTCGCAGGCATCCGCGAAATCAACTCGACCGGATGATCTCGAACACATCGGTTCGGGTGGATTGAACTCGATCTGATCATCGTGGATCCATATATCGATCTCAATCCGAGAATTGATCTTCTCCACACATGATTCGACCCACATCCACTGGCATGGAATTGGCACCATTCTCTCATGTTTGCATTATATATAGTTGTTTCCGCAGGCTTGATCCTGGAGTTCTACCGTGGCTTCAACGTCTCGTGGACTGACCCGTCCAAGTACTTCGAAGCGCCCAGCATCCTGGAGAGCCGTGCGGCTCAACGCGCGGCGAGTTGGGCAGTTGGGCGATGCATGGCCTTCAAAACGCCCAACTGGTTGGTTGATGAATGTAGTTTTCGACGTCGACGTAGGATTAATCAACCCCCCCTTCAAGGTCAACAGGATTTAACAGATTGGTTCATCCTAGGTGCGCATTAAGCTGGGACTGAGACCGAAGAGAAAACGGTGGTACCAAAGCAAGCGGTTTCAGGGCGATACAAAAAAAACGTAAACCTAAATATGTATATAATCCGCGACGCAGAGATAGAATAAATTTGAATATTTCAAACAGAAGGTGCAATTTTGGTGGTTTCCAAGCAAGGCTTTAAATAGAAGAAAATGCCTTGCGCAAGAGGTGCTTTGTTGATGCTTTTTTGATGCTGTTTGGGCACTCTGAACTCCAATATCTTCTATTTGAACGGTCTTGCCAGAGAAGCAGGATTTCATGGTATTTACAGTGAAGTCTTGAAGTTTTGGATGATCTTGTCCAAAATTTAGCCGGGACAGACGGTGCAAGTTAAACCCAAAAATCAGAGGACCTAGTGCACAACCCAAGATGTCCAGAATCCCGGTACAAAACGGTAAAAAATAACGAGTTTTTTGTTTTTTTTTTCTGAAGGTCAGATCCACAAGACAGCAGAACAACAAGTGAAGGTCAAATAGAAGATATTGCCAAAGCAACCAAGCACATCAAATAGAAGAAATGTATATGTGATTATTTTGGTGTTACAAAATAATCTGGTAATATCTTCTAGCAGCCTTTTCCTGACCCATGAGTCCATCTTCAGAGCTTTTCTCTCACCAGGGTTTCTCCCTCAAAGTTAAGAAGATCAAACATTCCAATAATTACCCCTAAGATCAGTCCCATGAAAGGGACTTTCCCAAATAGGTCATGTTTCTGGATATTCTTGCTGTGTTGTTGTGAATATGTATCTATCCATATATCTATCTATTAATAGATCTATTCATCAATGCTTGCATATTTCCCAGAGATGAGCAGTGGAGAAACATCGGACCGGCGAGGAAGGAAACAATCTGCGCGGACCAAAAATGAAATCAAATAGAAGATCAAAAACAAACATTTCAAATAGAAGATGTACCTCATCGGACAGATTTCAAATAGAAGATATTAGATATTAGGCTATTTAGTGTTTTTTGCAAAAGTAGCTATATAACATGATATAACACCTCTTTTATGCTCCGGCAAAGCCCTTTTCTTCTATTTGAATGTGTTTTTCGCACGCACCAGAAACAGTTTCAAATAGAATATTGAAATTCTGAATATTCGGGAATTTCTTCTATCTCTGCGTCCCGGGTTATAATTGGTTGATGCCGAAGAATCTCCCAAGTGAATGGTACCAAACAACTCCTCTATTCTTTTCAGGACATCATTGCTGTGAAGCCTTCCAGTTCGTACTCGAACGACCATGGGTCCCATGGTCCATGGGACATCACCCGAACCCCAAAACCTGGGAACCCTGGGAACCAGACTGCGAGGTGCCAACTGAGAGTGTGTCGGTCCACTCGGGTTATGTGAGGATTAGGTTTCAAAAGATCTACTTCTTCGCAGGGTGCGATTTGGGTGCCCAATTGAGTCCTAGACTCTGACACTGGCCCCTATACAACCGTCTAAGACCATCATGTGCTGCCCTCCGACCCAGATTGATACGGCGCCAGGACACTGCCCTTTTGAAGAGGTGCAATGAAACCAGGATGATGACCTCACAGGCGCCCTTTGGACAAACAGATGCTTTAACCCCAGCCCGATGTAGAACTCTGAAAACAACGTCCAGCAGATGTGCTGTGCAAGGCTTGGAAAACGATGAAGCTCTCACAAAGCCCACATAAGAATCGTAAAGAAAAGCTGGTGTACCTGTGGTGACTCCATGTATTCCCAAACCATAGAAACAATCCATGTCATGAAAAAAAGAAGTCATGTTGCACTTAGGGGCTGGGTCTTGTAGATTTGAATCATCCACGGTGCCCCTTTCACATCAAATTTTATGGGGACCTCCCAGTCTGGACAGCATCGTTGTTGGGTTGCTCGGCAAGGTTTTTTGAAGGACGACTTAGTGAAATTGGGCTCACTAATGCCTTCCTCCGCACCCAATCATCTAAACCCCGTTGGTGAAACATTGATTTGTCCGGAGGCGTTGGAAGCGTTTATGTGGTTGCTTGGAGGGGGCCCAATAGCTCGACGCCTTGAAGTCTCTCCTGGCATGCTCAGAAACATCGGCGTTTAGCTGGGGTTTTCTTCATCAATTCATTCATGTTCTAAGTATGAACTCCGCAGGCCATGGAGTTGTATGCCAACTTGACGGGTGACTGGGATGGGGTGGAGCTGCTGATCCGTGATGGACGGCGAGAAGTGCGTGGAAGATGCTGCCAGGCAGAAAGAACTGTCCTTTCGTGGTCCTAAAGCCCGATGTCACCAGCCTTGAAAGGTATAATGACACCTGTTGATTCATAAAACCCCCTAGGTGCGTAGTCAGGTCATACCACGGTCATGTCCAACAACGTGGCCGGGTCGCTCGAGCTCGAGCCACCCATGGCGGACCCGAGCTGCCCTGAGCTGCGGCCGAGAGCTGCGGCCATAGGAGAGTTCTTTCGGAGGTCCATGGTGCTTTTTTGATCAGTTGGGCATGGGAGTGTCTGGGCATGGGACGATAGCATATTTATTGACTTTGGTTAACCTGGGGTCAATAGCGGCAAACATTCCAGTCCCATCATAGGCGATGGCAATGTGTGACCCTAAGAGCAGCGTTGTCCACGGTTTTCCTGTGGGGTGGGGTTCACAATGACCAACTGCTGTAGGAATTGATTTTACTTTCATCGTCCAACAGTACTTGTACCATCTGCCGGGTCTCGCGCAAACAGCACTCTGGGTGCCGAATTTGCACCCGCTGAGGGAACGACGGAGGGCACCCCACCTGCGATGCAACCATTGCTGTCATCCCGTACCATACTGGGTTGGTCAACGCTCAATGAGTGGATCCATGTCGATCCATCCCGCAACGAAGAAGAGGTCTCGAACGAGAGCATGATTTGCAGCGCGAAGACAAGTGCAAATGCAAGAACATTTTCAGAACCCTGTGTCACTGTGTGTTTGACAATCACCTAAAAAAAAACTATCCGTGATTTTTAAGGAAAGCCTGTGGGTCCAACTTAATCCTCCAGTGTGAACTTGTATGTACATCCATGCATATACTATACTCCTTCTCAGCCCATGAAAGACTGCTGAGATGCAGAATTTTCGGCGGTTGGTACACCCTGTGTCACCCTTCGCCACAGAAAGGACAACAATTTTCTCGGCATCAAAAACCAGTTGACCTGGTCATGCGACGCCATGCGAATGCTCCGAGCTGAAATGTTAATCCATACGGATCCACATACCTTCGGAGAAGGTGATTGGAGACTATTTATGTAGGCTTGGAGAGCCCACATACCTTCTGAGAAGGTATGTGGATCCATAGGGAATTAAAGATTTGTCAGTAGGAGTGTCATGATGCTACCTTATACATTCATCACTCGATCAGGCACTGACATGTAGGTCATATATGTGCGTAGAAACCACGGAGCATGTTTTTGTATAGGTCGGTCGAAAACAACGGTGTTCCCATAGACCATCTTCGAGTAACAAACAAATTGTGGTGGACATTGCAGGACCAAGCTGCATTCTCTTTCGCAGATCTAGCCCGGCCAAGTGAGGCTTCAATGACTACTTCTGGTACCCGCCAGCGTGTCGTGAAGCTCAGCCCAGCATCGACGTCATGTCCTTGTTTGACCATAGGATTTGGTGTGCCAAGCATGCTTCCTTCACTCGTGGGACTCGTGTGTCCGAAACATGGGACTCGTGGTACGCGTGCTTGGTATCTGTAAAGTCTGGAACATCGGCTACAGTACTCACTGTTCTTTTGGGCCGGGGCCATGACCCATGACTTCTCAGTTGAACAAAAAAGGACGTCGCCTCTTCTTCTGATGCCTCGCCTCTTCCGCGCCACTTCGCTTCTTCGCCTCTTCCGCGCCTCTTCGCATCCGCGCCACTTCGAGGAGAACTCCTCGAGGTGCGTGCTCTTCGTCACTGCTGGCAATGGCTGGAATTTGGATCCCTGGCGCGCGCTTTCGTCGTGCTGTGCTCGTCGAAGCGTCGGTGGTGAGCTACGCTTCGGGTTCACCGGTCGAAGCTGAAAGCCCTTCGCCACAGAGCTTAAACCTGGAAGGAAGTGTAGCACATTTTGGACGAGAGAACCTTTAAACTTTACAGAACTTATTATAGGCCGGGTTCCATCTCGGGATTTCAATCTGCAGCTACAGCTCGATTGTTTATTGGCATTTTTTGTCAGCAGGGGTCTCCTTCGAGGGGCCACCTTCTGAAATCAGTTCCTGCAGGATCTTTTGGTGAGGCTTTGCGTTTCTCCAAAAATATGTTGTGACATTTAGTCCAGGAGTCCAACGTCGGTCCAGATATGTCACATGCCCTAAGAATCAAGGACCGGAAGGTTTGGTTCGGGTCCAAGCCCCTGTGATGCAGGATAGGACCATATATATGGAGAGTCGACATGATGCTTCGGTTTCTTTTCTTTTGGCACGTATTCCGAGGTTTGTGCTGACATGTGCTTAACAAAATGTTATTAATACTGAATATGTCCTTGCATGTATTCTGACATTTGTTCTGACATTCGTTTACAAAGTGTTTTGATGTTTGTTCTGATATGTCAATTGGCATTATGTCATGTATTCTGGCATCTGTTGTAGCCTTTCTGCTGGCGTCCGGCGTCATGCACGGCATGCGTTCTGACATATGTTCCGATCATTTGGTCTGACATGTGTTGTATCACCTTGTGTGTGTGTGCGCGTGTTTTTTTTCGGAAGATTTGCACAGCTGCCTGAACCCGGGTCCAGTACAGCGCACCACTTGGCCGCCCCAACCCGCAACAGTCCAGCGCAAATGTGTTCCAGACCATGCTTTCTTGCAGTGGGTCAAAACCGGGGGACCTTGGTTGACCACCAAAAATGAAAAGGATAGACTATATCTGACAAGTCCACCTATACCCTGTTTTTGGGGGGCTCAAGTCTGTGCGACCAGTCAACCTACCGACCGGCCGTCAAGTCTACAGTCTGTGTTCTGCATAGAATATCTTCTCGGAGGGTGGGAAAGGCGATGGGCCATCGGGCGGTGGGCCTTCGAAGCCACGCCGCCCCCCCGTGGCATCGCCTGACATCGGACCGGTTAGATGTGCATCGGTGAGCACCGGACGAAGGTGTGCCGGGTTGCACCCGTTTGACCCAAATGCTGAAACCAGATATTGTTCCGGATTTTGTCCAACTCTTTTCTTTCCAGATCACTCCCAAACAGGGGTCTCACAACTTCTTTTGGTTGTGACTTGATCGCACTCTATCTATTGTTGTTCATCGATTCAAGGGGTCAGGACCCTGCCCCTGTGTGCCGTTCTTGCAGCTCGCCGCCTGAGCCCAAGCCAGGAAGAAACGATGCAAAAATCCACAGCATGGAATATGCCACTGGCGCCTGTTGTGGCCAAAAATTGGTCGGTCTACACGTACTTGCCATTGCAAGTGCGCAGCACCTTCTACTGGTGGATACCCTGTCTGATCGCTGCGAATTGTGCTTTCTCAGGGAATCCAGTGACTGTTTGGTGGGTCACCTTAGGTTCCAAAGACCGAGCCCCATGGTCCCGGAGTCTTGAATTGGTGGCAATTGGTCTTCGGTATTCGGTAAGTCTCAATTGTTATGACATTTCTGGGTTTGGATCCCTTTCCCCCAACCCGACCGCTGCGTGGTACCACCTGAAGATTGAACAATGAGGCCGGCTAGGTATGGGAAGAAGGAGACCCGCAGCCACACGTTCTTTTTTTGTCCTCTTCCATGAGGCCCAAGTGGGGCTCAGACTCTCCATGACCGACCATGACCTTCAGTTCGTGACCTCTTTGGAGTCTTTGGTTCTGAAGGGAGGTCACTTTGAAGTCCCACCACATGTTTTCTTACTGTGGAGGGTCCAAGATGTTCCCCCTGAGGGTCACATGTTTTGATCACTTATGCCCTAGGGCTCCAAGTACCTCTTCAGAGGGTTCCTGTCGACCCTTGCGCTCTTCGATCTCAGCGCAGGTGCCTGATCCCACGTTCATCAGCTTGAAGCCCATGGAGATTACCTTCCCTCCGTTCGATCGCCAAGCGCATATCCGCGGAGACAAGCGCACCGCCCCCAGCGCTCTGACGGTGGACAAGTATGTGAGCCAGGAGCACAACACGGGATCTTCGTTGCGGTGCAACGTGTGAGAATCAGGCACATGTTGTTGTCTTTGTTTAAATCAGGCACACCGCACGTGAGAACAAACAGATCTCTGAGCTCACATATGGGAGCACAAATACAAGAGCAAATGCATGAAGCCACATGTGAGATAAAACTCATATGAGAGCACACAAAAGAGCTCGTTGATGAGAGCACACAAATGGGAGTGCACGTGTTTTTCTTAATCACGCACACACACAAACATGTCAGAACACAGGTATAAGATGGTATAAGAGTATAGGAACACAAACAAATGCGAGAGTATACACATGAGAGCACATACATGGGAGCATGAGAGCACGCATTGAGACACATGAGAGTACACACACATACATAAGAGCTGAGAGCGGACATACATGAGATCATGAGAGCACGCATTGAAGCACATAAGAGCACACACATAAGAGCTAAAAACTGACATATGAGAGCACAAGTGAAAGCGCACATATGCACGTACCACGCACGCACGTACACACACAAACACACACGGGAGCACAACTAAAAAAAAACAACAACACATTTAGACACATCAAGTTTGCACCTCAAGGTTCACAAAGCGCTGCCACAAAATCTGCACAATGAAGTTGACAAAGTGGTGTGCCTGCCCCTATCCTGCCACAAAATCTGCATTTCTCAAGTCCAAACTTTACAAATCAAATCAAATCAATGCATATAAGCCAATCTGAGCATACCAGAGACCACCACCATGTCCAAAGTATATTGCACACATCCCAGTAAAACATTTGTTCCATCTTTTCCATGCGTCCCTACGGGTGGCCTTTTGCGACCCGTATGGCAACATCAGGCGAGGCAAGATTCACCTCCGAAAGTCAAGGGTTCTCTGACCCAAAGTTGGCACCGCCTCCATCGAGGGGACCCGGACTGCCTCCGGTCAACACTGCAAGCTGCCGCCGCCCCACGTCGGGTAGAACCACCCGGAAGGTTCCGCTGAAGCGTGTCCACCGTGTCACGTCGATGAACATTCCACATCAATGGGAAGGACAAACACCAATGACCAATGACCGATGAGTCGGGCCTGCACAACGTTGCTTTAGAGCTCAATCCTCTCAAGTCCAACATAATTCGCAAGACACGGGCAAACCAATTAAGCTGCTGAGGGCGGAGTGAGCCCAGGTTGCGCAAGTTTGGATCCTTCCAACTCTTACTCACTGGTCAAAGACTGGCCCTGTCAACCCTGTAGCCATTTGGAAATCAATGTACAACTGAAGAGGAGCAACCCAACGACCTTCGGTCGCAGCACGACCGTTCAACATGAAACCAGTAAAACATCTTTGATCTCCTGCGTTTGCCGCGAAAAGTGGACCAAGTCCGAACATGGGCACAAAACCACTTCTGAGCACCTGCCACAAAAGCATCCAACCGAAGCATTGCACCTCCCACAAAAACCGACCAACCGACCATGTAACGACAATGAAGACAACATGTTGCTGTGTTTGGCACAAAAGCAAACCAGTGACCAGCGCGAACTCTGACCACAAACGTTGCCGGTGAACGCCCAAGGTATTTGCTCCCAAACATGAGGTTTCACACTACCTGGAGTTTGCAGTTCGTTATTTAGAACATGGAACATGACCCAAAAAATCAGGTACATTTGTCATGACACTCATTTTCGGTACTTTCCCAGGTCGACTCCAGGTAGTTCATCTGGATCGAAACACCGGTACGGTCGATGCCCGGTGGGTTTTTCCTGCTGGATGAACCTAGGCAAACGTTGCCCTGCAGGATCTGAGCCAGTTGGCTCCGTCAGCAGAGGAAATGGTTCGGGCCATGCTGATCGATTTGCAGATGGTGAATGACATGCTGTTGGATCAGGTGCAGACAGGAGAATGTTTTTCCCGCAATAATTTTGTTTATAGGGTAAAAAAGCTGTATGCGAGAACGCCCGTCCTGGTCGAAGAATCTTCTTAGAGTATAAGGTCACTCACTCACTTGAAAGATTAAATATGTCGAGGAACAAGAAGCTACTAGGGGCTCCTGGCCGTACTACTAGGAACAAGAAGCTACTAGGAACATATGGCTCTATATATGGCTCTTGATGGCTCCATAATATGGCTCCCAGTATGGCTCCCGATCTGCGGGCAGACGGTTCCCACCCGGTCGTTTCTTGGTGATTCGTTTGTGGCGCAGCGTCCATGATTGACATGTCGAGGTCAATGTCCAATCCCAGAACAAACAACGGGACTCGAATAGATACGCCACCATGAATGGGTCATGTTCATCAGTGAATGTTAGTAACTGTTCAATACACGGATGGTTTGGGAATTCAATTCTCAATACCGTCCACCAGCTGAGCAGGGCACGAACACCAACCCGTTCATTCGTTAACACCTCACACTCTTGTTCGCTTCCTTCACACGGATTGCGAGGAGACTCATATCGGGAAGTGGCATGCCGATGGATTCAGTCCAACCAGGAGGTGTGGAGAAGCTGGTTGCCAGATCCCACCACCTGCTTTGCCCAATTCGGACTCTATCATGAAGCTTGGGCCTAGACTAACTAGCTGATAGATCAAAGATCGCCCCCAAAAGAACAGTTGTTCCGGTCCCATGTTCAAGGTGTAAGATGCTCTAAGTATGAGTCAGCTACAAAAAAAAGATGAGCCGCGAGCCGTAGAGCAAGGGTGCCATGTTTGTTTTGAATTTGGGTGCCATGATGGGAGCAGCTCCGGGTGCCAGTCCATGAAGCACTGCCGTTCCACCCAGGTGGAACCGACCCATGGTGTTCGACCCAATGTTGCTAATATGGCTTAACTCAAGTGGTGCAAGAGTTGCTCAAGATGCACCTGGGACCTTTGTTTGCTCCAGATTGATCTGTAGCTAGATCTTGTTCCTACGTGTGGTTGCATTTTACCTTGTTGAGTTTAAGGGCTTGTTTGGAGAGAGTTTGTCCTTTCTCTTTGTTTATAGAATTATATATATACACAGAAGTCGTTTGTAGAGGAAAGTGGTCTTGGATCTTGAAAAAGTACAGGTTTTATATGTAATGCAAGCATCGGATTTAAAAACCTCCCCTAGTTAATCCGAGCCCACTAAGCCTCGACAAATTGCCCAAATTAAAAGTAGTATTGGTGGCTAATTTCCCCCTTCAATCATTTAGTTGCGCACCAGAACCGCCCCAGTTAATCCGAGCCGACACAACCAGGCAAATGTTTGCTATTTCTACTACTACTGCTGCTACTACTACTACTGCTGCTGCTACTACCACCACCGCCACCACGACGACTACTACTACTACTACTACTACGACTACGACTACCACTACTCCCTGAGCAGAATATTCGGTGGATGTGGACCTCATGAATGTATACCTCAGACCTTCTAGACCTTCCACGTGGGCGGGTTATTAACCCGGTCTTCACATTATACATTCCGACTCACTAGCATGGAAATGGACAATGGCCTTTGGGTGGTTTCAACTTCCATGTCAGTACGTCGGAGCGCAGTACGTCGGGCCAAATGAGTCGTCGTGTATTTCTACTGCAGGTGTGGCGCACTTTCAGACGCTTTTCTCCTCAATCCGGTGAAGCCACTTTTTCGAATCATTGACCCTTTCACATCTTTCACTGGACTGAAGCCCTTTCAAGGGCCTTCCTTTCAGCCATTGTTGGGCTTTTCTCGAGAGGTGCCTCTCCTTCCAGATGGGTTCTTCCCCTTTAGATTTTGAGACTAAAACCATTGCAACCTCTCCGAGTCTTGATGCTGACTTTATAGCTGCGTCCGCCAGTCGCATCCTAAGGAAAAGAGCGGTCAATATGTGGCAGATCGAGGGGATCCTACTGATCTTTCATGCAAGGCTTGTTTGCGTGGTGCTGATTCACTCCTGTTGTATATTACTGAATGTTCACTCCTGTTGTACTATAATATGTCATGGTTTGTTGGTCAGATTGTTGATGCTTTGTGTTCATAATCCTTCATCTTTGCTCGAAACTCTACCAAACACAGGAATCCCAACGCCTCAACCCCTGCGCTCTTTGTTGTCGTTGTGCCTCAACGCCTCAAGGCTTGCTTGTCTGGCACCTACTCCCATAAGCTCGTCGACCTCCAAGGCGATCGCCTCCTCGGTCTCGTCGCGACGTCGGCCGTGCGTGCTTTTGATGTATCGCTTTATTGGCGATCATCGGTGGGCGGTGACTACAAGGGAAAGGGAATATTGTAATACTGTATTTGATATTGACCCTGTTGAAAAACCATAGAAGCTCTGAAGTCTAATAGTAATACACCATGGAGTGTTTGGGGAAAATATCAATTTTGAGCATGTGAGAAAGCCAAGCACGGCTGGAGAATTGAAGCTGGTCAAAGCAGTGGGCGCTGTGGCTGTGTTTTATCCACCAAGCCACATTTTGCCATCTCTAAAAGAAGAAACTACCTGGGGTGGACCCCGTTCGTAAAGGTACCTGTTTTTATAGGGTCATGTCCCATTTTCTGCCGTCCATGCGGTTGGTTTGCGGGGTCCCCCGCTTGACAGACGCCGCGGGAGTTTGGCACCCAACTTTCC